ATGGGTTACAGTAAGGCACACATTACAGTATTGGTTTATGTTAAAAAATCTGAGGGTTTAATGTCACTTTAAGTTCAGAGTTCATACACTTTGGCTCCTAGCACGCCACTGTATCCAGCCAGAATAATTTATCAGCACCCAATCCCTTTATGATGACAACTGGCTGCATACAACAGCGGAACACTGCAGTTAGACGTATTTCAACTTTTAAACTTTACACATTTAGAACTTGGGCCAAGATAAGCGTAATTACACTAACCTTATCGTCATCTGCATACTTTTTCCCCTTGGAGTTCTTCTTTAGCCTGATGTAATAAATTGCAGAAAAAGAAAATTGTTAACCTGTTTGGAAGGGTTACATAGTCAGGAAATGTTGTGCACACTGTTTATATGAACAATTCCTCTAAGAATGCACTAGTGTCTCTGCATATGGATGACATACTTTAGTGTGTGATAGAGAACTGTGAAATTAAACTTGATAGAACACGTATAATGGCTTCAAACATGTTACTATTTCTTGCAACCTCTGCAAAACGTATTTTTGTGTACAGGCTTCCAATAATTCTCTTTGGCTCTGTGCTTTTTAGTAGTCTGCAAAACTCACAGGATTACGTTTTTAGACATCACTAGCAATATGCTTAGCTTTACTGCTGTAAGCCTTTTTCAAATGGATTACAATATTAGTTTAGCTCTGAAATGTATATAGCCCCTATATGTTACTGCAATGTTTCCTATTACAAGAATGGATCCGATCATGTCATTCAAACTTTGCTCGAAAGTTTCCTAACTCTTTAAAGAAGAACTCCCACAGGCTAGTATCAGTTAGTAAAGATCTTTATTTAGTAAGGATACAGAACTATGGAGTACCATAAGGGTATGGCGAAAGGGATCCAGAAAAATAGCTGAGACAAAATAAACACTCTAACTGCTCACAGGCACAGTATATGGATCCAGAGCACTCAGTAATGGTTGTCCATGAGTCTAATGCTCGTACTTTTCATACCATAATGGGTCTCCAGACACCAGAGGCTGTGCCATGGTTCTGAACCTGTAAAGCAGTCTGCAGCTAACAAACCAGTAGAATAAAAGTCTAGGGAATATCACAAACTAAGCCCAGTGCTCAAGGGTCTCATTACAAGCAGATCCCACAATCTTCGGGATAGCAGGGTCCGGGTATGGCCTACAATGCAGCACTAAGGGGTCTATTCACGAAGCAGCCGAAGGATCTAGCCGTAGCTTCGGCTGATCCTTCGGCTAGCTTCGGCCCCAGGACCCCTTCGGTTCAGTAGAACTGAAGGGCTGCTCTACGGGCTATTCACTATAGCCCGTACAGCTCCCGAAGTCGGCCGATGCTTCGGTGAAAGCCGAAGCCGGCCGACAGCCTGCTTCTGACAGCTGGGAGGAGCCAGACGTGACCTTACGGCTGGGCGG